GTAACTGTGATGAGATGAAGAGATAAGTGATTAATTCGTTTAAAGATGAGTTAGTCCTTTATTAAAGATGCTTTTAAAAATAAGCGAAAAAGTTTCTGTATAGCGGAACATAGCAACTGGCGCGTCGGTCAATTTCTAATGGTACCGCGAGAAGCGCACGTGCTTATGGCACGTTGCCGCCCTACTTCACTCCGTACAATAGCAATTATGAGATAGAAAAAATATGTTATCGCTTACCGGTTATGGAGGACTGTTTCCTCGTTGCGGAGGTTGGTAAAACGGGGGTAGTGGGTTCGACGATATACGTTTTCTTATCCGAGTCAAAATCGAACAGATCGTTGGTTGTGATTTCACCGATTTGCGGTACTCTTGGCTCTTGTGGCGGCGTTCTTTCAGATTTCGAGAGAATTGGAGTTACCGGGGACGAAAGATCTTTACGAAGAAATCTTGTGGTGGGCGATGAATCCCGTACTTTTCGTGGTGTACTAGGCGCGTGTTTCCTTAAGTAGGGCATACCTCGTAGGGCATAAGGTTCGGGTACCACATCCTGTGGTGTAACCAGCTCCCACTCGTACCTTGAATTAGCTCTTGGTATTTCCAAGTGAAAGTCAAATCCCCATCTCTCGGCATCGAGTATGGATTGAGCGCGAAGCTCTCGTTCCGCCAATGCACGAGCCGCGGCGTGATCGACGGGTCCGAATAGGTCCCTTCGAACACGAGCAAGGGCTGCTCTGCTCGGCACCGTTCGTCCTCCACCCAAATTCCTGCTCATTTCCGTCATCATCACCGGATTCAACACTCGAGCGCTCATATTTTGTTAGTCTTTCACGCCGGCAACGTCGCTGTTCTCCGTCGCAGTTACCAATAACCAAGTGTTTTCACGAACAAACAGCTTCCGTTTCTCTTCACTTAGTGTAGTACTTTTTCTCTCTTTTATACTCCTTCTCTCACTTTGCCTCTTTCCGTCTTTCTCCCAGCGTCTGTGTTCCAAATCGCGATTCGCCACTACTAACTTACACACTCGATCGATTTCAATACGCGCACAGCGCGATGTTAGAAAACAATCTTTTTTCTTATGAATTTCAACACGTATATTATACACGTCCCGTTTACGGAGATGATTCTTCCAGGAATCGTTCACAGAACGTTGAAATACTCGCGGCTTGCGAAGACGTGGCAACGTTGTCGTGGCGCGACCCACCGAATTTCGAATAATGGCCGTGCTCAGCGTCGTCTCACGATTACGCTGACTGTTGACTCGATCATGGATCCACCAAACACTTCGCAATACTGATTTTTTGCGGTATACATCCGTGAATCGGAAGATATATTTTAATTCGGAATATATCATCCACAATTGAAGCGTGTACGATAAACTAGAAAGTTTGGCAACACGGTAAACACACTATTGCGTACCACGATGAGAGAGTGAGAGGTAAGATAGGAAAACAGCAACAACTATCTCATATTTTCTCAAATATCGGTATATATTTCCACGGTCATAATAACTAAAATTTATGTCAATAATTGATTACGATTTTAAGTTTTTTGTCCTTTTCTCACAAATTCGTCAATATAGCCCGCGGGAAGAAAAAGCCGGCAACGTCGCACGCACTTGCGCGTGAGGCTTCAAGAAACGGCGAGCGTGTTTCGACGTGTTCCCGCGAAGGTTACCACGTTATTGTTGAAATTAAAAACTGACTATATATCAGTTTTCTGAGTTTATAATTATCCCGTCCATACGTGTAATGCGAGATACATAGATATATCACTCAAGATTTCTCATTCGACACAAGACAATTTTGCTGAAAACGTTATTGCACACGGCCCGAAAGCACCAATATGCTGTTCGCTGACACGGTGGGGAGCCACTGAATCGACTTCGATACCACATAAAATCCAAATGAAAAGAGTACTACGCTTCCCGCCAAATACACGTCTGTCAGACACGCGCGTGGTTCCAAGTTCGGCAGAAGGTCGTACACGATTGCGCAGTTATGTTGACGCTGACGAGGTGCGTGCGTGCTCTGTAACGCACAGAGTTGCGCGAAGACACGTTCCACACGTGTAAAGCGCTCTCTAGCGACTGAAGTGTGCGCTTCTCATTGCAAGTAACCAAGCCTCTAAATACATCGGCTATTTTCGGCTATCTTCGGCTCATTCGGTATCACCCCTTTACCCTCTCCACATGTCAGGGAAGAAACGAAATAACCGCCATTTGCAGAGTATAGTTCCTTCGACCTGAGCGCAACATTTCGAGCCTTTGAAAACACGTACGAGAAGGTTGTACAGTTATTGGCCCCTTCCATGACAACACAAACGAGCAGAATGCTGATTGTAACCATCGGATGCGTCCCAGTATGCCAAGTTTATGGTAAATACTATTCAACTTTATTTTTTCGCATTAAAGGAGGACTATAAGGAAGATTGGAAAAAACGATCGATAATAGTTGCTTTCCATTTTCACTAAACATACAATTGTGTTTAACGCACAATTAAATCTGTGTTTGAGAACGCTTTTAAAAACTAAGAAATCGCAAAAGGTAATCTTTGTATTTCATGAATAGAGCCTTCTTGTAAAATATGATTCTTATTGATTATTCTGTATTAAGTTAAAATATATTTTTCAATATCTGATAAATTTATGATAAGTAATTTATAATTGATTAAAAAAAAAAAAAAAAAATAGAAGCGCATTATATGTTGACAAAAAAACGAAAAATAAACAAGTCCAGCTTTCAAAACAACGATTGTAATCTTATCACGGACACTCGTGCGTACGTTTATTCGGCGGATTTCCATGTTTGCATGGCAATACATTACGCACAGTGAATTTATTTGCATATTGTTCAGATTATCATCATTATTTTATTTCAACTTTATAAACTATTGTCCCTAGACACCATGATGTGAACCAGAATACACTATATTTTACAAAATTTAAAAATAAGATTTCACCTATCTATAACCGTTTTTGATAAACTAAAAAATAAAATAATCTGGTGTGCAAATTAATTTTTATCCATACATATTGTCTTGATTTTTTCACACATTCGAATATTTAATGAAAAGTAACAGATTTTATATTTTTAATTATTTATAAATGAACAATATAAATATTTTAATGATGAATTGAAAAATATTAATAATAAGTGTAAAAAATTATATTTTTATATGTAAATGAATATAAATTTTGATTTATCATACAAATATAAAAGATGAATTCGTGCATTTTTTTTTGAGTTTGTAACAATTTATGATTGTTAAAATTATTTCTTGCGACACCCAACTAAAGAAAGATACGAAATAAACGAGGTGAATCGACACTTTTCAATGATAATTGTCAATTTACCTCATTGTTGTTCTCGTGGCCCGAATCGTACGTGTCTCATGTAGAAGGCAATGGGAAATAGTTTTCTGTCGCGTACGAGGTAACTCGCGTCGAGCGAACCGTACGTGGATCGTCACAACCAATCAGAGAGCCTGATTGTATTAACGTTAAATAGTATTGGTGTATATCCCACTGATAAAAGTATGGCTAACCAGATGGCGTCACTGTACACTAGCGGGAAGATTTTAAACGTTCAAATCTAAGAAAATTCAGATAATAACTTTTTTACATTTTTTTTTTTGCATCAATTATATATATTTATTTGTTATAAAAATCTTTTTCCATTTATTACGAGATTATTATCTTTATACGTGTGATCATTTAATCGTTTATCGTTATTCAATTATATCTCTTTCTTAATAATACAATACAATACATATTCATTATTTTGTGAATGAACATTTTATAAAAAAAAAAAAAATAAATAAATAAAAAAATAAATAAAAAAATAAAAGAACATAAAAGAATTCTAGAGATGTATTCGGTAGGAGGACAAATTCTCATGAGAGGATCGCAAAACGTGTTGTTGAAAATGAAAATCCCACGCAACATCCAGGAAGTGGTGAGGGTGGCACCGGATGCATCTCAATGAGGGGAGAACGAGCGAATGAGTCGCGTAAAACAATCCTTTTTGCGTTTCGCAAAGACTTACCGTCTCTCTTTCATCTGCGGTCAGGTGGGGTACCCGTTTAGCAAGGTATTTCGTTGCATACACAGGTGTTCTCTCATGGTTCGTTCGTAGACGAAGGTTAGAAAACAATACCGTTTCCTTTTATAACGTTTACCGCCACTATCTTCCGAACGATGAGCCGTTTTAGATTATTTCTCAAGGAAACATGTGTTTATATTATGTCTTGAAAAGACGGCCGGAGGGCGCGTGGCTGCGTCTGCATCGTCTATTTACCACCTTAAAGAGTCACCTGTTTCATCTAGGTAGAGAAGAATTTCACTATCAAATCCGAGTTTACCGTTGCTATATGTTATCTCGTCGCGTGCACGCCGCCATAGAATGAAAACGTAGCTGTGATAAATCATCTTTATCGAGATCAAGGTGGTCTGGATCGAGATCGAGGCTGGAAACAAGGATACTAGGATCCGTTAAAGCGTGAACAAATACAAATTTTCATTCATCGGCAAGAAGCATTGCTCCCTTAAAAAAAAAAAAAAAAAAAAAGAAGAAGAAGAAGAAGAAGAAGAAGAACGGCATTAATAAAAATTCTTTGCAAAGATTCTTCGTTGATTCGTTCTTCATTAACGGTGGTCGTTATTAATTGTTCAGCGTGGAAGTATTGAATGGTTGCGGAGAACAATGAAGGTGGTGGTGCACGGTTATACGAAAATATCTTTTGTCGTAGTCGCGATTGTACCCACTTCCGTGGGAATTCGCGGAACGGAAGTGCAATTTCTGGCAATGGGTACACCGCCATCATCGTGGCCAGCTTCAGCTTTAGCGCGGGCAACGTGAAAAAAAACGATTCTTAAGAAATGATGCCAGGTGCACAACACGCTTCCTTCTCACGAGAAGAACTCGAGATTAATTTTTAAGAAATTTTTTTAAGAAGTGAAGAAGGTGGAATTAAGAAGTTAACGATAATAATCGTTGCACTTTTTACAATTTTCATCTTAACGCTAACTAATTATAATTGAAATGTTTACGTTTCTTCGGTAGACGTATACAACAGATGTGTCATCTTATTCTCGTGCCTCGAATTCAGGTCACGCGCATAAGTCGTGCACCATATGTTCCAGAGCATCTAATCCGTCTATATGAATCTCGTGTTGCAGTTATTCCGTTTTATTATAGTGAAGAAGTAGGAAGGAGAGGGAAATATTTGAAAAGTCGGGCGCAGAATTATAAGGTAAAGAAATATATTATTTTGTCTATCTATAAAAAAGTATAAAGTCACTTTAATATACGTATAATTTATATTCACATTATAATATCATTCGTTCGCTAATCACGTGTATTGCACGCAGGTATAATAATAAATATTAAATAATTATGTAAAACGGTATAAAATTAAGATAAATAATACAATAACAAATATCACGACAATCGACATCCGATTTTCGAGTTGTCATTACGAGTCAAAATTTTTTGCAATTTAAATAATAATAAAAAAAAAAAAAGAAAAAAAAACTTGGTTTACTCTAGATACTCTTCGGACTAAAAGAGCGTCTATTTCTGACTAGAAGTCAAATTAATACCTTTTTCTGTAATCGACATCTTCACAATTTTCAATTTGTTCTTCTTCTGACTCCAATTCGATCGATTTTTTTTGAGTTTTTACTTATAAATTGTAGCTTGAAAAAAGGAATTTTCCTTTTCCTTTTTTTACCAAAATTCACGATGAGCAAATTTTATTTTATTTCATTTTGTTTCTACGTTTTATTTTGTT